AATTGGTTGCTTGTGTTTTAGTTTTCGTTTTCATTTTTTTTTTTTTGTTTTTGTTTTGTTTTTCTTTTATTTAATTTTTCATTAATAAAGACGTTTAGTAAATAAGTTTAGGATTTGTTTGGTTTTTAAGGGAATTTGTTTTATTTGGGTTTACCTAGAATTTTTTTTGAGGAGATTTTTTTTTTTTTACACATATAAAGTTAATACATATGTAATTGTTTTAAGTCACACATTCAGCTAGTTGTTGTTGTTGTTGTTGATTGATTGATTTATTTACTTAAATTTTCTTTTCAAATTATATTCGTTTTTTTTTTTGTTTTATTTTTATTATTAAAGTTTTCTTTTTTTACCTAAAGATTTACTAAAAATTTATTTAACTTTTTAATGATAATTTTGGAGGGTATGTAAATAAATAATTTCCTTTTTGTTTTTGTTTTCTTATTTAAAAATAATTTTAATAAAAATTAAAGTAAACAGTCAACAGAGTTTTTATTTATTTGTGTAGATTTGTTGATTTTTGTAATTTTCTAGGAGTATAACAATTTTCGTTTTTTTATTTTTTATCTGTACTTTTACTAATTTACCGCTTTTTGTTTATTTTCCTTTAAGTTCCATGTGCCAATCTTTTTAAGCATTTTTTGTGTTCTTTTACTTTTTATTATGTTTTTTTTTTTTTTCTTTTTGTTTATTTTCTGTTATATATAATTTTAATATATATATATACTTCATTTATCTATATATGGCTTGGTAGGTAACAATTTTCATTCATGCCCAATTTAAGTGTTTTGTGTCTCTGTACTTGTTTGCATAGGTGTTGTGTCTTGTGCGGTGTTCGTTCGTGATTGTGGCATGAATCCAAGAAAATGTTCCTTTGATAAAAATTTCATTCATAAGAATTAGGCGTTTAATTATCATATGTTCACAATTTGTAATTTATTCTGATTTTTTTTTTCCTTTTTTCATTGTAGTTATACGTACGCACGGTTGCTTTCTATATATAATGTTTGTCTTGTTTTAGCTATGAGTTCATAAGGACAAACTTATTGTTATTTATTTATTTATTTTTACTTATTTTTTTTTTTTTTTTTTTTGCCTTAATATCTAGAGAGAACTTAAAAATACTTTAGATTTTGCGAAGCCTGTGTGGGTTTAATAGAGTAAAATCCATCAATGTCTATATATATGTGAAATAAAAAATGAAACTTAGAGAAATTCTCTACAGTCAAGCTTGATACATAACACCATTGTACATTTTCTTTATTGCATTAATAGATGCTTTGAACCTTCTAGAAAACGTGGAAAAAATTTATTACTAGCAAAAAATGTTTTCTTGAAATTTTTAAATAAAAATTCTTGGACATAACGACTGACACTGCGGTGTGTAATTTTAGTGACTAACATTCTAAAAATGATTAAATCGTACACTTTTTGCATTGAAGGCGACGCTAACCGAATAAAGAAAGCTGAGCGTTCTTTGACAGATGCTGCAAAAAGGCGTGGTATGGCATCAAATTTTCGAAAGAAGACAAGGAGGAGGAATATTTGTAGTTGGGAGAGCAGTTTAAAGGTCCTGGAATAAAAACATGTGTACAACACAAGTCAAAGTGTTACATGTGCTTATTTCGAAACTCACAACAACAATCTCGTTTTCTTTCCTGGAATATTTTACTGCGATCTTTTTTCGAATTTTGTAAGATATCTTGATAATAATATTGATTAAACATCCTCGCCAAATTCTCGCCAATCAGACGAAAAAACTCCGTCCCTTTACTAATCCTAATCTTCTCTAGCTACACAAATATTGATTAAATGCACTTCTTTCTTTTTTAGAGAGAGAGAGAGAGAGAGAGAGAGAGAGAGAGAGAGAGAGAGAGAGGCAATGGTGTTGGCAATCTCTTCTTTTTTTTTTTTGTTATAACCAAACACTGAGTGGATGTCCCCTATCTAACACTTTCCTCTATACCTGCAAGAAAAACAATTGTCTGGAAGGGTTGTAGGTAAAGTTACATAGTAAGGAAGAAATGGGATCGGAAGGAACAGGATGGAAATTCGTGCAGCCTAGTGGATGTGTGGCTAATTGTTAAGTGCTATGCCTTTACCGACGTAGTATTCACTACAGCTACAGTAATGCAGGGTTCGACCAAGTATGGTTTACGTATCGAGATTTGTACGAGCGAACACTATCTTCGTAGTCTCGAATTTTATCTACTCGGCCACTTGGTCTTTTGCGTGGGTTGGCCGTCTGGAATTGTAAAAATATCTCTTTTTTTCATACCTAAATACACCCTGAACAAATGTCAACAAATAAGAGAGAAGTACCTTTTCATCCATTTGTTCGCTGTTTTGTTTATCAATATAAACAAGAGTTGCGCCGAAGGATTTCATATGGAATTGTTTTAAGATATTGTTTTGGAAGATCTTGACTCAAATGACTTTTAAAAGGAAGCAAATGTAAACCTTTATGCAAACTATTCTAGAAAGCTTAAGCTCTTGAACAATAAATCAATTGCTGTCTTAAGATAGAAGCAATGTTTTTACTTGATCTTCTAGTTCTTTCCTAACTAGCCTCGTCGCTCTATCTCCTGCCATAATTCGAAAAGTATCTTCTGACATTTTATTGTCTTGAACAAATCAACCAGCGGCCTTCCGGCAGTGATTTTGCCATCTGTACTTCCTGATAGACAAGTAAGCAATATTGGAAATATTGGCTAAACACCCGCTAAACGTTCACGAAGAACACTGAGTAAAAATTTCTATTTAAAAGTTCTACTAAAAGCGTAATATGCTACGCAAGCGTAAACTTTCCATTAAATAACTCTACTTTATATAGACGAAGAAAATGTGCGCCTGATGGTGCATTGCATCATGGCATACATGGCATCTGTCGGTTACTGCAGGAAAGCCTAAGGTTTTAACTATGGGCTTCTCATTGCTGTTTGCAAGCAATGGATTGAATAGATTACAGAAACATGGAAGAGGAAATGTTTTTAAATAAACACGCTTTAAGCACCAGTTGGCCAATTGTTGAATGTACTTAGACGAGGCATGGCTTAGCCAGACAGTTTTTAGTATATCCACTTTTCGCCACTTATGGTACAAGGGCGTATTGAGTTTGCGTGGATGTACGGCACGCCAAGAAATACTTGATCTAGGCCCACTTGTCATCATACCCATCTATACTGAATCACTTGCTAAATCGATCTAAACTTGTCTATCCGTTTGCCATCTTATTCAGCCTACAGGAAATTTGGCGCACTGACATGTTTCGGTCTTGAGACGAACATTATTGGAAATCATTCGCACAGGGTCATATTTTCGACCACTTTCCATATAATGCCTTATTTAGAAGAATCTTGAAGTTACGTAAGGTAAGGCCGTGTGCGATAGAAATATTTTTACAATGATTAAGAAATGATAAGAAAATCGCGAAATTCAAAATACGCTCGCACAAAAAAAGAAGAAATCTTAAGAGATCGAAAGCTTTTAATGAGATTTTCATGATCGAAAAATTTTAAATTAATTTTTACTCCTTATTCACAGCTAAGGCAAGGTATATGTGATGTATTCACATAAGTGCGGACAGTATCGTATATCGTGATGTATATTGTAAAGTTTCAGAAAATCCATTTAATCGATGGAAAATAACTGGAAATTTGTCATAAGGAAAACTGCAAAAATTAATTATAATTTAAATCAATTGTTTGCACACAACTGAACACACTCGTTTACAGAAGTGTATGTTACTTTAATCTCATTATTACCCACACAGAGTTGCACTTGCATATATTTATTTAATTATTTAATTATTTTTTTTTACAATTCATTTCAACAGTGCTCTAGCTTTCGTACAGTGTGCAGGAGTTAACGTTATTTGTTCTATATGTATATATGTTTCTGTTTATAATATTTTTCAAATTTTTGAAAAAAAAAAAAAAAAATATTTATTTTTGTTTTTACATCTATTATAAAATTTTGGAAAAGATTTTCTCTTGTTCAGTTTTATGATAAGTTTTTTTTTTTTTGCAGTTTTAATACAAATTTTTATTTCTTCAGTTTTGTTCTTGACGGTACTTTGTCTTGGTTTTGCTTTTTCATTTTGGTATAAAAAATAGAAAAAGAGAGTATAAGAGTGTGAATCATTCGGTTTCTTTAATTTAGTTTTCGTATATCATTTCTTGTTTTTTTTCTATTTTTTTATTTTTGTTTTTTTTATTATCATATGTATCAGAAAAAAATTTATCGAAAAAAAGTTTATGTTTAAAAAATTGTATTCAAAGTTAATGGTTGCCATTTGTTGTTTTTTCTTTTTGGTTTTTTTTTTTTTTTTTTTGCAATTTTTTAAATAATTATTTTATTAAATACTATTGATATCAATGTTTACTTGTTGTGTTTTGTTAAGTTGTCCTTTATTTATTTATTAATTGTTTTTATTTGCTTAAATTGGAAAAATTTGAGCGTTTTCTCGATTCGTTATTATTAGCGATTTTCAGTGAATGATTGGTTTTGGATTAGTGGAGTGAAGCTCCTCAAACGTACCTTATAGTAGACTTACCTCCTTAGTTTAAGAATACGCCAAATCAATCGGTCGATTAGTTACACGCTTTGAGCAAAAAACAGAAAAATGCCAAATTAAGTCAACGTTAGTACCGGTAGGATAAAATGCAACACGTTCCCCTCTTCTTTACTCTTTGTGTTTTCTCTCCTTATTTAAGATTTTTCTTTTTGCCGATTCGTTTTTAACTATTTATCAGGTAATAGAATTTCAAGTTTTCCTTTTTCCAATGGCATGTGGAGTCAACGTTTCTGTTCTTCTCTGTAACTTTACTTTGCATACGTCACAATCCATACGTTACGTAAATTTTTCAAATTCTTCATGGAAATTCTTTATTATGGAGCGTTGAAGTTGCATGAAATTTGTATGGATTCAAGTTTTCAAAATTTATGTAACGATATGTTGAACGTTAAATGTGATGGTTGTAGAAACGTTTTGATCCCTTTCAGAGGTTTGCTATATCGAATGAATATATATGTTTCAATGCTACGATCATATTGATAATGATTATTATGATAAGTGATATTGTTATATATGTTGTTTTTATGTAACAGTAGCAGCCTTTAGCAACCCCCATACCATGGAAATGTCCAGCACCATCAGTGCGGAAGCATTAACGGTCGGGCCGTACTTGTCAATTTAAGGCGTGTTTGCGGTTTTTCTTCATACTGTTCGTGGTCGTAATTATAAAATGGCGATATCTTCAGTCCTGTCTTCTCTGGTATGATTTTAAAGTGGGGTTGCTCGGTACTTACGATGAGCGGTCGCTTCATTGAATGCATATATTCGGAATGGGGTGCACCTAGGGGACGCCGTGTGCTTGGAACATTCATTTTTTTGCAAGGCTCGGGTTTGGTTTCATTGTTATAGTGGCAGTTTTGTGGTGCGTATTTATTTGGCTTGTAAATCGAAAATATATTATTGATCAGACTTAGAGCTGAATGACCTCCCGCTGAGGTATGATGCCCACTGCTAGTAGGCTGTTGAGTTTGAACGCTATTTTGTTCGGGATAGAAATTATTGTATTGATAGGATGGTAAAACTTCGGCTGCCGGATATACTTTGTGGCCGTAGTTGAAGGAGCGGTGTAGGGGCGAGCCAGCATCCTCAAAAAAATGAAAATTACTTGCAACATTATTGGCGTCCGTGGGTGAAGAATGATCAACTTGCGGCGGTGAAGGCATGCCTTCCAGCAATGATTTCTTTATCATCATGCGTTCCTGCTCGCGATCATGTAAATCGATGGGTTGTCCATTATTATAACAGCCTACATTGACGTTCTTAACTTTTAGATTGCTTTGCATATTGCGACGTTGCATATCTAAGTCAATGGGGCTGGGTGGTTTTTCTAATTCCTCCCAATATTTTTCTAAATCTATGTTAAAGTCGCGTAAATCCATTTCCGTAGAATCTGAACAAGAATCCTCGTCATAGCGACTGGGTGGTTGAACCTCTAACATGGATTTACTACGCGTTGGCCTACGATACAATGAATATTGCCGACGCGGTACACTGGAGGAAAGATAACGTTCATCCTCGTCTAGGAATTTGTCTTGCGACATGAGACGTTCACGTTCGTCACGTATGAAATGATCGAGATCCGTATCGTAAGCCATCGCTCTACAATGCATATGCTCCTCCTCTTCGGCGGCCGGATGATGGCCGGGGCAGTGATAACGAGCTCGTGCTGGTCTGGCTATGTGGTGTTGTTGCTGGCGTTGGTAGCAATAGTCAGTATCCGCAGCACAGCAACAAATCACCGTAGGTGGCGGCGGCTGTGGCTGCTCGCGCCCCAAAAGCAGCGAGTAGCGCGAAGCCCCTGCCACACGATGATTGTTTCGTTCATCCCACCAGTCGGTCTCATGTAGATTCCTGTTGCTACCACCGCTGGCGCCAGCACCATAAAAACCAGACAACGATGACGAAGAAGGGGCCACACGACGCCAGGGTCGTCGCGGCCCCCCTAAATCATAGCTATCTGAATAGATATCATCTAGAAGACATTTGGCGTTGGTGCAATGTTCGCGAGCACAACAAGTATGAGCTTCAAGGGAACCTGATAGAGCCGTTTCATCCAGACTGTTGCTACAATAGAACCCCATAGATTTACGAAAAGCCTCTTGTCGTTCTCTTCTACTCTTGCCCGTCATTGATTGAGGCACTTCGTAGTCCATGACATCGAAAGGCATAGTTTTGGCTGATGTTGACGATGTGGCACTAAAGGAATATGATTTTGGCACATTGGTGCGATTCTTAAGTATAGGGTGCGGAGCGCTGGGAGGCAAAGATGGTGGAGGTGGCGGTCCGGAGACGGTTGGAGCGTCACCCAAACCTTCTTCATAAGCATTGACGCCAAATGAATAACTTTGCGATTTAGGATAATGAAATTCTTTACAACTAAACGATCTCTGCAAACCATAGCCTGCTGATCCTTCCCCCTCACCCCTCCTCTCTATAACTTCACCTTCGAAATCGTCGGCAAATTCATCTTCGCCCGTATCAATGAAAAGTTCATCATGTTCTCGTATATTACGTAACTTACGATAGCCCCCATATTTGAGACAATCGGGTATATAATCGTCTTCCAGATCTTCGGAATGATTTGAATAGATGTTGTCCGTATACCAAGAGGGATCAAGCTGTCGCGGTTTAGGTTTCCATTGTTGCATTTTATCCCGCTTTGATTGACGGTAACTTTCAAAGCAAATATGTTTCATGCGTTCTAATTTCTGTTCACGAATACGCTCCCAATTTTCCCAATTTTTATCATTTTTTGATCGACCATTGCCATCTAAAGCAAAACTCTGGGTTTTATAAAGATCGTAATCACCGTTGTAATCGACATTAACATTTTTGGGTTCACGTTCGCGTGGTAGATTATTGTAACTTGTATGCTCGCCCGCACTGTCGGTTACAACGATGCGTATTTTACGTTTGCCTTTGTCAAGCAATTTGGATGACAGTGATGATTTTTGCGGCGGTTTGTCGCGTTCACAGGGCGGTTCTTCTGGCTGTCACACTTCCTGCAGATATTTGACAGGACAATAGCCTTGTCGATTATCGGCCGACCGTACCATTACCATACCATTCATTTCGTTGCCCGTCTAAAATGAAGATAACAAAATGAAATATTTTGAGTATTTGCTATTCGCAGACAAGAACAATAATTAGAGCATATATATATGTAGGCGCTAACCTGTATGACAATTTGATCACGTAATAGAGTCATATTTTCGCCTCGCTCGCCATCCGACACTTGAAGGTTATGCGTTACTTGCAACGGCTTTTCATTTGCATTCAAGCGTACAACATATTTGGAAGGAAAATAGCCGACACGACCCATTGCTTTACCCTTCCACCAGTCCGGATCTGAGGTATCGATAACAGTGACCTAAAAAAAGGGAGAAATTACAGAAAAGCGCATATCGTTTGAATTCATGTCAACGAATATAGTTAAGTAATTTATATAAATTTATTTTCTTCAGTATACGAATAATGAAACGGTCACTTGACCACGTCCCATCACCAAGCCATGTTCTCTTCAATATTGCATTCTCATTACACACACGAATACTTACTTACTCAGTTTACCCTAACGGCAAAGCGTATATTTTGTATTTTATATCAGGTGGTCGGTGGATTGAACGTTTGGTCGATTGCCTGCCTTTCGTTTAGCATATTTTAACTAGCATTTGTAAATATTTCCGCTACCTTCCGACCGACTCATGCCGGTTGGTTTTCATTTGATTGCACACAACGCATAAAAATGCTGAGCCTTGACTGCTATGTCAGTGATTTTCCTATAGCACTATTATACTGATACTGATGGTGATTGCAATGCTGGTGATGGAGATGGTTATGCTATCAGAATGAATTTTATAGTCAGTCGAATTCGTTATTTTATGTATTCCATTGGCATGTCGGTATGTATGTTGATGCGAATATTGTACCGGTTCAGCAACTACACGTGCCAAGTAGTGTATATATCTTTACTCTGCTCTAGCTTATCTGTATAACATTTGTCATGTGGTTTACGACCAGAGTGCGCTACTCCTATGGCCTTTTGATTTGTTCGCCAGGATAATAGCGAACTTTCATGCGATATATTTTTGTAAATAGCATTGATCGGCCTGGCAACCTCGATATGCCTTAATTGTAATGTGTTATTAAAAATGAGATAAAATGCTGCATGAACTTTGAAAAGAATCTTAAGTAATTTTACGAAAATCATTACAAAATTTGTCTTATCTATAACTATTGTGGCAATTATATAGTTAAGATGAATAGAAATGATAGAAATTGCTTCAAAATATATATATATATATATATATATATATATATATATATATCCTATCATGGTTATTACTGCGGGCTACGAATGAACGAAAAATTTACTGAAAGTGTCATACTATGGTGATGAAGGTTTGTCAAGAAATGGACAGATGAAGTGCTCTCATATAAACTCCATTACTTGATGAAAAAATCCCTTAGGTAATGTTTACATCTCTATCACTATTTTTCCTTAGATTGCTCTCCTCTTCTTAAAATATATCCATAAATTTATTTTTGTCCCTCTAAAAATTTAGTTTGTTTACCTTTTTCCTGATAGTTTTTATTAATTGTTTGCTTACGGCACGTCATTGACCCGATTTTCTTTCTCATTCTGCGTTTAAATATTTGTCTACTCAAGTTTTGTATGAATTTGATGTTCATTTTTTCATATTCTTCTTCTTCTTCTACTTCTCCTTCTTCTTTTTACTCCTTTCACTTATTCGACGTAAATGAATATTTACTTAAATGATTTCATTTCAGCAGACACTTTTGCTTTTGCTAGCAATTTATCTCTATGTCTACACGTTTTATTGCTTCCTTTTTTTTTTTTTTTTCTTTTTTTTAAATGCATAGATTTCTTAAGCGAAAATCTGTGAGGGTGAAGCTTGTACGTAACGTTCACATAAAAGTACAACACTTTAATTATTAATCTTTGAAATAGAAAGCGATTGTACCTGTAATTAAGAAGTTTTTTTTTTTTTTTTTAATATTTTAATGAGAGCAAAAAAATTTCATTGGAATAAGGGCAGGATTTTCTTAACTCATTTTAAATAAAGTTTAAAGGCTTACATGAATATATATGGAAATGGATTCAAAAATAAATCTTAGAAGTGGTGCAGAATTTATGTTATGTACAAGCAAAGGTCTACTCACAAGATCCAAGCTCAGGGAAATTTTTAGAAAAGCAAAATTTTCCTTTCTTCATATTAGGATAACTTGGGGTTGGTTTATTGCTATCGACATCGAGTAAATTCGATCTCGATGATTTGAATTTACAATCGAGGGATTTTTCATTACCGATAGCTGCAACCTCACTACTCGTTAAGGTCAGTCCGTAATCAACAGCTAGGTTTTGCGACACAAAAGAAAAAAAAAAAAGGGATGATTCCTAACTATTAATCGGTCATGAAAAGCGTTATTACTTGAGAGACTTGGTCCTACGCATACGACGCGGAAACAATCAATCAGCAAATATCGAGCCAAGATCGAAAAATCCACTTCAAAGTAGCTGACGAATCGACATGATCTTTACAGTTTTTTTCCACCATCGTGGTGTTGCGCACAATAGCATCACTTCCGCCGTCCCCAATTCTTAACAGTGAATATTTTTTGAGTGTTTTGAAGGCGATGAAATTGATTTCGAAAAATAAATAACGATCTTCAAGATAATCCAGATAATGTACCTTCTAAATGGGACACAGTACTAAACGCTTATGGTTTACTTTAAGTTTTAAGCTTGGACTTTAAGCTTGGCCATCTATACTAAAACTAACTAATGTTGGTTTTATTAGATGCTAGGCGTTTTTAATATTCTTGACTCATGGCTCATGAAAAAGCATTAAAGTTAAAGAAGTTAAAGAAAAGTATCTTATATCATCAATCGGTGGCAGCATGAAGGGTCGTCTAAACAATTATATTGTTGAGGAGCAAAGAACGTTCTTAAAAGTAATAGTAATTTTTGTTCAGTCATAGGAAAGGAGGATAATATACTAATAAAAGCCGAACCGGTTCGACTTGATAGAATTCGTGACTTCATCAAATGATTTCATTTATTTGCGGATCACTACTGAGCCATTCCCAAATGGTAGCAAGAGGATAGGCCACAAAGTCTATAACATCATATTATCAAAAAAGGCGGGGTAGTTTATATTCTCCATTTATTGCGACTATAGAGTGTAAGTAGAGTATTTCGAAGAGTATTGTGGTGATTGTTGTTATTCCGCATCAAGAGTTAGACAGGCCACGACGCGGCCCAGAGTTGTGAGAAAAGTGACTCACATAATCTGTTTCTCTCTCAATCTGATGACGTTGTTCCAAGTCTTGGCGGACTCCGATTATCGATTATTAAATTAACTCATTATTTCAGCAAGCATCGTTCGCCTTCACGGCGATTTTTATTGTCATAAAAAATTAGTTTAGTGTTTTTAAAAACTTTCCTTATGTAGATCAAGTTACTAGTTGTACTAGTAATTATATGTAAGTATGTAAATGTAAAATTATAAAAATTCAATTAATGAAATGATTTCTTCTCATAATATTATATGTCATCTTTACACTCAGTGTGCTTCATATTTGATCAATAAAAAGCTCAATACTTTTTATGCGACTAATTAGATAAAGTAACATAGTTGATTAGTAGCAAGAGGTGCAAAAGAGTTTTGCAAAATGTGTACGTTAATGGTCCAAAAGTTAGAAAAAAAAAACCCTTAACCAAATTTCACAGAAGCTAATCTTTGCTTATCTAACAAAACAATTTTCCCATTGATTAAAGGATATAGTAAAATAGGTAAATGAATTATGCACGGAGGGAGAGATTAAATTTGAATCTGAGTGAATGACTTTATTTAAAGTGCTTTTCAATATGCTCTCAAAGGGCGGCTGAAGCAATATTTCTTATTACCATTGAGACTCTTGGTGGACTTATGCGAAATATTTAATATAAACTTTTGACCTCTTAGTTAGATAAACACTAGAACAAGTTCCTTAAGCTGTATAGCAAATAATTTAGTTTATCTTTCTCTAGATTCATTTTTTTTTTTTTTTTCTTGCTAAGCACTCTTTTCCATTTACCTTTGCTTCTCTTCTTCTTAGTTCCTCGCCAATAACAAATTTTATTTGATATTTGGCTTAATGCATATGTTTGCTAATATGTAGATATCACAATGCCAACATATGCATGAGCTTGAGATTTCGTTTGTGTTGTGATTTTAGCATGAATTTAACTTTGATGGTTTAAATGCTCTTTGTATACATTTTATACAAATCACTGATATTCAAGTCGTTCGTGGTCGTCGTTGCAGCTGCATATGTATAGTGCCAATCATACATATATACATACATACATCAATACATACATACATGCATGCATACAGAATATGTATGTGTAATATGGTATATGGACCGGTAGCTTATGGCTAAACAATGAGAATGAGTGCTTTTGTGTTTGTTTTCTACTTCTTCTTCAGTTTTGTTTTTTTTTTTAACTTTTAAACAACAACAATAAACATAACAATATGTTTTATTGCTGCACATATCAACAATTTTTTTATATGTATATATGTGTATGTGTCATGTATATGGGTGGATTGAGTTTTATGTTTGATATCTTTATGTACATATTCACAAAGCATATATATACAATATGATATATTGCTGTGTAAGTGCAACTCTCCTGCGGGGAAACATCGAGTATAAGTTTCTATTGTGGTATAAGTTCGTGTGTGCTCTGACGCTGAATGACAGTTTCGCATAAATGCGGTTTGTTTTTAAAAAACTCAATAAAATCATTGTACAGGGATTTTAAGTTATTGTTAAATATTTGTGTTTGGTTTTTACATATATATATATATAACGTAAATCCACTGAGTTATATAAATCAATACTAGACATACGCATATATAAACACAGTATATATGTGTATAGACATTTTTACATTTTTATGTAGATATTTTAATATTTTTATGTGAAAAAATCTTTTTTACCTTGTAACCGGCTTTCAAGTCCAATTCGTCAGCATGACGGGCTTTAAAATTGTATAAAACTACATATAAATTGGTTGGCAATAAACGATGAGATTTCTATTGTAGATAATAAAGAAAAATAAATAAATAAATAATTAAAAGTGAATATTTATTTAAAATTCTACATTAGATCCGATCTGCACCGAAAAAATGCCATTTCAAGCAAAATACAAACAAATAAATAAAAGAATTTCAAAAACCAAAGCCAGTTCAAGTTAATTAAAAACGAAAATTTATATATATTCGATCTTTTTCTGTATCGAGGCATAATCAAAACAAAAAAAAAAGAAAAGATAATCAAACATAATTGGTATTGATGTGTCGACAATAAATTTAATCTAAAATAAATTTAATCTCTACTCATCTTATTATTATAAAATAATCAGCGGTTCCAATACATTTGCGTTGCCTATACAAAGTAACTCTTATGTTAAAGACGGCGTGCTTCTCTTTGCATTCATCAGCGAGAACCGGTGGTATATTTATTTTGTTGAAAGGTTTGCGACAACCAGAAGGAAGCGTGAGAGATACTTTAAAGTGTGTATGTATGCGTGTTTGACCAGCATTAAATTCTTAATCGATAAGCATTATCCTGCCTGCAAAAATGAAGCTTCCAGCTTCAAATGTGACAGAGATCAGGCAGATTGATATTGAAATAGTGACCAAGTTCTCCGAAGGACGGCAGGTGAACTAAGTAAATATCTGCATTCTGGGTTTTTTCTCCTAATGAACTAGAATTTTTCAAGTGAATTGCTTGCAAACTGCAAGAGATTATCCACGCCCATCCAATATTATAGGGAACAAAAATTTATTTTTCCTAATTTTCTCTCGTCTTTTTCAGGCTAAAAATGCTGGGTTTTGCAAAAGATTCGAACAAAGTCAAATGCGATTTTCTAACTTCTTGCACATGCTATCGAGAAGTAAGTCTGCTGAAGTTAAGTTTAAATTTAAATTTGAATTTTGCATCTAAGGCTGTTTTTTTTTCATAAAATTTGATTTTCAATTATGTGTTTCTGTTCAAAGAACATTAGTAATGGATAGAAGTGATTCCCTAGGTACACAAATTTGCTTATCGACACATGCAACAAAAGAGAAACTATTCTTATTATGATTTATGTACATCGTTCGGTTAGCGGGCACTCAAGATACTTTAATTACTTTACTTAAAACTGAAAAAGTTAACGAAAACAGGGGAGAAGAGCATGCGCGTTATTCTTCCTAACCTAATATTTATGGTTCTTTTCTCTTTCATTTTTATTAATAAAATTATCATGCGGCCAGAAGTGGCCTTGCCGTCGATAAGCAACGTCTCCAATTCTTATCTTATTCAAGTCTTGGCCAATTTAGCTCCAATATTCTATAACAAACTGTATAGTGTAGTTTAGTTTATTGGATTTGTATTTTCAACAAAACTGCAAAATTCTCTTACCATATACATCGGAATCTAGAAGCAAGCCTATCAGGCTTGATAGCAAAATCGATGTTTGAAGAAATCCCTTATTTCATATATCTATGTTCGAAGGCAATGCGTATGATTTAAATTTTACTACATGCTAGATTGACTGATGTCACAGTATATCATGCGATAGAAATCTTCTCATCAGTTCTTCCTTAGTTTGCTATCGGAAGAATACTGATTGAACTTGAAACTATTATTGAACAGTTAAAATGATTCGCTCATCAGTGAATATAAACTGAATTAACATCTTAAACAATTTGCTTATGTAATATAAATAAGTAAAGAGTTAAATAAAATCATTTATGTAATGGCTTTTAAATGTTTACTAGTAGAATGCAATGCAAAGGTTTTCCCCGAAGCACTTAAGCCATAAAGTTAATTGCTGTTTTTCCGTTAAAGCCTTGATGTGCTACACAATTTGTGGTTGAAAAATTTTTTATTTCCCTCTGTAGTATGGAAAAAATCTTTTTAATCTTTCAATAAGTTTTAATGGAAATTACGCTATGAATTCGCTGCGATTCGCTTATATTAGATTTATAGAAATTTTTATACTTTTCATTATACTCTACACCACCTGCCATACAAGGGTATATTGAGTATGGGCTCAACGGATATAGGCAACACGAAAAAGGACTTGGGATAGACGCAGCTTTTATAATACTGAACGATTCAGAATCACTTCTTGCATCGATCTAAGCTTGTCTGTCCGCCCGTCTGTCTCTCGGTCTTGTTTTCTCATGTTCAATCTTGATTATGATTAAATTTGGTACGCCGACGACGAGCGCCATTGAACCTGTTTCGTGCCGGTTCACTCTCCCTATAAAGCTTTATTTTAAAAAGTCGTTATATATAAATCTGTATTAAGCGAAGTGGTGTAGGCTACTTAATGGTGGGTCGTGTCCCATTATAATCTTTTCACTTGATTTCTAATAATAAATTTCTTCATTTAAAATTTATATAAAAATAATTTATTACTTGCGAGCAAAGTGTCTGTCTGTGATAATTTTTTATTTATTTCTCATAAAACCTTGTTGTTATTATTATCCGATGAAATTAAGGTATCACTTCGCACCACAGGAAATGATTTTATTTATTTTTTTTGCGTGAGCGCTTCATTAGGTGATAAAACTTTGCTGGTTTCCTCGTTGCTTATTGGATTTTGTATGTTATTGTGTTATACGTAAACTTTTTTTCATTAACTTTTTTTGGGCAAATTAAAGGCAAATTTTTTAATAAAAAATGATAAAAATAAACTAAAAACTAAAAAAGAAAGAATACCTGAGAATATCTTACAGGTGATGGGCAAGGCGAAGTGCTGGCTGATGATTGCGATTTATCCATATCATCGGGTAAATCAACGCTACCACCACGCATACCACGTGTAGCGTACAGCAGTTTACGTCCCTGATGTGAAGGACTAGAGGGAGCTGTAAAGAGAAATAACAGTATTAGCTAATTGTTGAGAATAAAAAAAAAAAAATAAAAAAGCATAGGAAAAAAGAAAAAAAGATTGCAATGAAACTAAAAGAAGGAGGAAAGCGTTGAGAAGAAAAAAAAAGACACAAGCGAGCGAAAGATTTTTAAATTCTAGAAATAAATTAAAAAAAAAAAAAAAATTCAAATTCAAAGTTGAACTCATAAACGAGGGGAAAAAGCGTAGCGTGCATATAGAGATGACAAAAAAGACGAAGAAAAGTGATTGACAGTTAATTAAACAAGTTGCACGGCAAATATTACAACTTTCTGTAGAAACGATTTTTATTAATGATTTCAGGAATATTACATATTAATTGGTTGAAAGAAAGCTTTATTTGATATTGAAAGTTGAAAATATGCTAAATAACTTACTTACTATACGATAAGAACTTTATTTTAATATTTTACTTATTTTTTTTTTTTTATTATTTTGTGAATAAAGCACAATTGCTACCGTAAAAAGTTTTTAGTCATTTTTTTTTTTTTTTTTACAACAAAAACTCAAAATCTACTACGATCTACGATCAACTTTACAATTTACAAATTTACGTTCGCTTATATGTTTTATATGTTTATGAATTTTTACATATATGTTATGAAGTTAATGAATTAATGAGCGAAATACGTGTCACTGATAATCGGTTCAAAGGCTAATTTTATATAAAAAACCTATATTTATACACTTTTATTACAAACCCTTAAAAATTCTTCTTAACAATCAATCTATGGTTTTCTCGATCTAATCATATTTTATCGCATGAGACTTAAAAAAGAATATAATACAACATTTGTTGTAGTGGGATTTTTTTGGTTGTTTTATATTCTATTTGCTTGGCATTACATAGAGGAGAATTGTTACATTGCGTTAGGTAGACACACACAGATTAAAGAGAAAATCGCTTGAGAAATATAACCAAAACGTATGAGTTTTACTTACAATGTAAACGACTATTATTTGAGGGTGGCGTACTATGTTCCAATTGTGTACCAGATCCACCATGGTAATATGTACCGCCGGCCACTGAACTACTGGCCATCGCCATTGTTCCCGGTATAGGCGGCTGTTGTCTGCGTCTCATTTGACCGTGTAATTCCGATGATTCCGGAGAATCCAAACTTAATGATTTCATGCGCAAATTTAATTTTTGTTTTCGTGGTGAGTGTGGAGCTATTTTTTTTTTTTTTTTTTTTTTTGTTGATGTTTAGATGATGTTTTAGCAGATGATTTATTTTTAGTTTAATGTTTGTTTTTTGTTTTTTTTTTTTTTTTTTTAAAGCGCGTTGGCATGAGAAAAATTTATTAATAAATAAAAAAAATTTTCCTGTTAACTCTTTTAAGTTCATTATTTTGGTAAATTTTTATTTTTTTTTTACAATTTTATAAGAATTTAAATAAAGATATAAATAATTGTGAGAGAGTTTATCTAATTTAAGATTTAAAAGAGAAGCCAGATTACAGATTAAAATCATTTGCTAGACCAATTAATTAAAAGCAGTATACGTAATGACTTATAAAAGCAATCAAAACAGTGCTGTGGAATTTTAATTCATGAGTGCAAAAAAGTGATAAAGAGTGAAAGAAAACAACGCCAAGTTGGAGGAGTACGATTAATTTAATCATGCTTAGCATATGTGCAATAGGATTAAGCAGAGAATTATTAAATATTCAAGCGAGGAACATATAAAGAAGACACATTAAAATACTTTAAGCAAATTTTACATAAGACATTATCGCTATTGCGCTATTATTTTTGTGCAGAAGTGCAACGTGATCTACGAGTTGAGTAAGTTAGCCTGACATCTTCAAAGTGCTAAGATGACAAATGATTTTTAAAACTAGCGATAAAAGTGCTTTTTGATGCGTGCAGGCAAGTTTCTCTAATGCTCAACAGGCCAATGTCGCGGTAAAATTCACATTTCATTTACTCTGCACAAGTTGGACGCCTCTCATAAATCGTAAAGTATATAATGACTACCACAAAGCTGAAAAGATTTTCGATTGTGAGAATGTCACCGAACGAAAAATATTTAGGGGAGTTTAAGCAGATAGATATCTGCTATACCCAGCTTGCACGTTAGGGGAAGTAGTAACTACAAACTTTCCTTCTGTTTCTTTATTTCCGCCTCAGCTCATCAGCTATTCCAGATATATTTCAATTATTTTACTTTTAATCCTTTTTATACTCTATACCTAGAAGGAATGAATGTAGATCCACTTTTTATTATATCAATCGATTCAAAATCACTTTCAGAATCGTTCTAAACTTATCTGTCAAGTGCGGATTGGTGTAGGACCATGGCCCACTATAGTGTTTTCTACAGGAAGGAAGGATTTTTGAGAGTTTGTGGAAAGGATATTTTCCGATAATGCGACCTTAGGCGTATAAACACCACACAATTTGTCATTAGAATGCACACAAAGACTAAGCGAAATCTTTATAAAAACAAAAATGCCAAAAATGGCTTTTACTTTAAAGAATAGTTTAAACTGTTATGCATAAAAAACTATTTTAAAATGTTAGGATAATTGAGGTGAAAAACTCGTACAAATTATTCAAATTCGTACAAAACAATCTATGTAGTATGCGAATGTTTTACTGTGTATAAAAATAATAGAAAATCCTCCATTTCAAGTTGACATGAACTATGACAAGAATTATAATAGGAAGCAATTAAGTGGTCTTCCTTTGCTAACCATCCAACATTTTTCTATTACACCTTTGTAAAGCGTGGCTCGTGGCTCGTCATCCACAATGAGGTCTTTCTTCGATGCTGAATAATAAATGTGTTTGATACCTTGCCAAAGGTGACTGGTGTTATTTTCAAATGTTGCTTACACTGCCTTTATGGCGGGAGTAAGTGCGGCTCTCTCTCAAACAGGGACGATGCTCAAACAGTAACGGTAATAGAGAGATCACACACTTGCCTATTCCCACGTGTTCGTGGTGCCTACTGGACGGTGGACATCCAGAGATACACTGGTAGAAGCTTGCTATGCGCACTTCTTTTCTCACAGACTATTGCTATGAAGGATATACAAACCAGCCGTTGTTGTTTTGCGACAGGTTTTATAAACAACGTTGATATTGTAACAGTTGCGATCATGGAGCTCAGCATGTCAGATGTAGCACCCGACGCAAGTATATCTTGGAGAAGGATAGTTTGGTGTTAGCTAGCCTGGATTGTGTAGTTGATCCGAAAGCAAGAGTGACTATGCCGCGAAAAGTAAGGCTAAAGGCTTTATAGGCTAAATATAAGCTTCACGGGGGTCAGCAGCCCACTCTTTAAGTCACGAGTACCTGCGGGAAAAAGTGACAGCATTGGTGAATTGCAGATTAGTGCTGGCCACGATGCTGTGGGGAGAAGCTCGCATATTGACATATATGTGGAAACCGCGATGGAAGCTTTTTTTGTCAAATCACCAGTTTGAACACAGCAGTTAACAAATGTGTGAGTGTTGACTTCTGAGTTCGGTTCAGGGTGTCGTGGTGGCCGTGGCTTTCATCATTCCTGAAGCGAATAATTAGAGAGGTAGTAATAGACCTCAACATTCCGCAGAGCGGGTTTATTGAGCCATATACAATAAACATATCTGATTAGGGATTGTCTAACTCTCCAGTGCGGTTCAGTCCCCTAGTTCATAGGGATTGTTTAACTCTTTGGATGGCGCCAGTTACACAAAAGGTGCCGTGCTTTAAAGTTTATATCAGGTACTCACGTTAAGCAAAAAGAACATCTTACCCTGCCTTTATATAAACTCGATTCTATTGCTTTTTAATGAGATCCTAATAAACTCGCGAAAATCAGTCTTTTATTGCTTGTGCCGAATACTTTGGGTCATTATCGCATATAAAAAGCCGAAACTATAGACATAGGAATGAAAAAATATATATTGTCGTTCAATATGTCTCTGCTCTGACACACGTACATGGCAACACTGTTGGAAAATCCATACGATTTCTGCATAACACTTCAAGCGATACGTTTCACAATTTCTTGGCATTTCGACAATTGATTGACAAGTTACAGTTGCTTTAGTACCACCGATTTTTGAAGCAATGGAAAATCTAGGTTGTTGACTAAAAAAAAAAAAGTTGCCTTTGATGAGAAAAAGTACGCAGCGGAAACTACGTCCGACCATTGTCTGTCGGGTTCTAGCATATTTCACCTACAAAATATACAAAACGAAATTGGACAGAAGGGTAAAACGAACGAAGTAATGTTGCAGAAAAACACAGAGAAACAAGATTCAATTGTGAAGTAGATGTCGTCAAGTCAAGCTGTAGAATCGTACAGTCGTCAAACCGTTTTTGCTTGCTTTCATTACATAATTTGCAGAATTTTTTTTCTCTTGAACAAAGCGTATATTGAGAAAACTTGGTATAGTATAAATTAATCAAAATATTTTCCATCATTTTCTATAATTTTTGCCCATCCTTCTGGCGGCATGGCGATGGCCAGTTTTGGAAGAATGATGGAGAATTGATTTGGCAGCGATCCAATCATTCACCCATTTTCGCACTTGTTCAACGTTGTGAAACTGCTAGCCCTGAACAAGTGCCATTTAGAAAGTGCCTTGTCTGGTCAGCGAGCTGGATGTAGCAAAATTTCCTATTCAAGCTGCATCAGTGTATCATTGATGACTTTTGCAAAAAGTGGCCCAAAAATGGCAAATCCAGTCAATCCGTATCATTCCGTTTACACCGTTAATTGGGATATGGTGTACCAGCCACCAGTCACAATAAGCTTTTGAACGTGTTTGGTGGGCTTCGGGAGCAGAGCTCTTCAAATAAACAACGAAAGCAATGAAGGTCGAAAATGCAATTTTAAGCGCTCCATGCGATTAGAGCCTCTATACACTGAATAACTCAATAATATTAAATGGACAAACAGTTCATCAAATTTCATCGTTAGGTTCATTGGTGTTTCTTTGTCATTTTTACCTTCAGAG